AAAAAATATGAGAAAAGGAAAAAAATGGAAACAAAGTGTTTGCAAATAGGGAAGGGTGGAGGGGGTGAAGGGAGGGCAAGAGAGGGGGAAACAAATAAGAACCAAGATATTCATGTAATGGTACAAGATCCCAATGATGAATGCAACTGTATTTTATACCTAAAATGTATCAATAAACTTAATGAGACAAAAAAGAAAACCAATTTGGAGATTTCTCAAAAAGTTAAGACTAGAAATACAATTTGACTCAGCTATTCCCTTTCTATTTATCTTCCCAAAAAGTTACAAAAAGCATCATACCATAATGATATATGCATAATTATGGAAAAGGGGCACAATTCATAATGGCTAAATCATAGAACCAGACTATATGTTCATCAATAGATAAATGGATAAACAAAATGTATTTATACACAGTAGGGTACAATGTCATAAAGAAGGGATAACTTGAGTCATTTGTAGAAAAATGGATGCACCTTGAGACCATAATGTTAAGTGAAGTGAATCAGACACACAAGCTTAAATATCTCATGAACTCTCTAATATGAGATACTTAAATAAATAAGTAAAGAGCAAAATGAAAGACAGTCAATAGGGAAAAAGAGAGAAAAAAGTTATAATCCACCATAAATAATATTGCTAAAAGTGTACCTTCATTTAGTGTAATTATCTTACATGTTTTTCAGCCTGTTAGTCTTCCTGTTAATCTGTATATATGACAATTAACTTTATAAGAATTTATAAGTTAAATAAATGAATCTGATGGCAGCAAGAAAAATGAGAGAATGGAAGGGAGGCAGGAAGTAGAAGGAATTGAGATGTGTTATGTACATATAACAATCCCTCACAATAAATATAATCGTTATGTACTACAAACATTTATGAATAAAAAAGAAAGTGGCAAAAACTATATGATGAGTGTGTTCAATGTAAGTGGGAGTATTCTGAGGGGGATTAATTAATGATAATATGTCTTTTACCATAATAAAGCTTTTAAATTGAAATATTCAAAAAACTAAATAAATACAAGATTTGAGGTGAAGTTAAAAAGAAAAATACATAGTTTAGACATTTATTAGCAGAATTAACAATACATTGACAGAATGAGCATACATATGCCCTGTTCTCAAAACAGATCCTGGTTAGAATCTCTAAAGCACTTCAGAACATTTTATAATCATTAAGAGAATATGTGATTTTGGTGTTGGAAAAACTGGCTTTCCACATGCTGGAGATTAAAACTAGATCCATATTTTTCACCATGCACTAAACTAAAATCAAAATGGATCCAAGATCTAAATATTAAAACAGAAACACTAAATCTGTAGGAAGATAGAATAGGTGGAACTCTTGGTATTGGCAAAGACTTCATGAAAAAAAACCCCAATTGGTCAGAAAATATCAAAAACTGGAATCTCATCTTCCTAAAATGCTTTTGCACAGCAAAAGAAACCACCAACTGAGTGAAGAGACAACCCACAGTGTGAGAAAAAATTTTACCAGCTGTTCCTCAGACAAAGGACCGGTATCTAGATATAAAGAAATTTTTAAAATCAGACACCCTCAATCCAAAAATGGGCATCTGAAATGAATAGACATTTATGAGATGAAAAAATAGAAATGGCAAGTAAACATATGAAAAAATGTTCAACATCACTGGTCATTCCAGAGATGCAGATTAAAACAACACTGAGATTCCTTCTCACCCGAGAGAGTGGCTGCTAACAAGACATCAACCAATAACAAATGCTAGCAGGGCTGTGTGTAAAAAGGAACCCTTCTCCATTGTTGGTGGGAGTGGAGACTGGTGTGATCAATATAGAAGGGTTCCTTTCCCCCCATATCCTCACCAGCAGTTTTTGGTTTTTAGTTGTTGATAATAGCCATTTTTATTGGAGTAAGATAGAATCTCAGACTTGTTTCGATTTACATTTCCCTAATGGCTAAAGACGCTGAACATTTTTCCAAGTACTTATTGGCCATTTGCACTTCTTTGGAGCAGTGTCTACTTGGTTCCTGGGTCTATTTCTAATTGGTTGCTTCTCAGGCATTAATTTATTTGAGTTCTTTATATGTTCTAGATATTAGTCTTCTATCAGTTTTACTTTTAACTTTTAAAAAGTTTGTTGTTATAGACAAAAGCAGAAAGACAAACATTAGTAGAGAGAGATCTAAGCAGAACAGGCTCATTGTCTCACTGCCCTGGAAGGGCTATTCAGTCAGCACTGCTCAAAGCACAGTGGCCTCTTCAGTGCTGGCAGTGCCTTCTGGAACTGCCCTGGGGGCCCGGTCTGAGGCTGATATTGAAGAGGTGTCATTGTCTTCAGAAACCTGTCCATCCAGGTGGTTTACTTTTTTTTTCTTTTCATCATAGATTTACTTGTAAGCAGATAATACACCATGCACATTTTTTGTATTAAATTCTTTTATTGGTACATTGTAGGTATACAACACAATTACATTTCTCATTGGGAATTGTACCTTTACATAATGCATCTTGGTTCTTATTTTTTCCCCATTCCTAGCCCTCCCTTCACGCCCTCCACCCTTCCCTATTTACAAAGACTTTATTTCCATTTTTTCCATTTCTCATCATTTTTCCTTTCCCTTCTTTCCTTTCCCCTGCCCCTCCCACTACCCCTACCCCTTTGGACCTTTTCTTCCTATTTTACATTATCGATTATTCATTCTAATCATTGGTACATTTTAGGTATACAATATAATGACATTCATCATTGGAAATTTGCACCTTTACATATTCTCTCTTGGTTCTTATTTTTGCCCAGCCCTCCCTTCAACCCCTCCAGTCCTCCCTATTTACAAAGATTTTGTTCCTATTTTTCCATTTTCTCATATTAATCCCATTCCCTTCTATCCTTTCCCCTAGCCCTCCCACTTCCTTCCCCTTTGCCCCTTTTCTTCCTATTTCACATTACCTATTATACATTTAGTCCTTATTTACACTTTCAGTGTCTCACACCAGAGAAACTATTTGGTATTTACACATGTGTGTCCTATTTACTTTTTTCTGTTGATGGGATGCTTTCAGTGTTGGGGTCCATGCTTTCAAATTTTTAAAGAAGTATGTGGAGACCTACAAGCTCTTGTGCTAAACCCTTCACTGTGGATTTTCTCTGTGGTTCTTTTTCTCCTAATTTCCCTTTTCTTTTGGTTTTTTCTCAAGCATGTGCTTGTACTCTAATAGCTCTGCATCAGCTCCTCAGGAGTCCTATGCGCTCCTCCATGCCAGCCCCATCCACACCAGGGTGAATGAGACTGCCAGCCCAACCACACCCTTGTTGAGTTTTGTAAACTCCTTATCCTTGTCAAACCCTTCAAAGCCGCGAACGAACCTCTTGAGTGCTGTCTTCCAGATGCTATTCATAGACTCCTTGGTGACATCACTGGAGCACTAACAAGAGTCTCCATTCAGTCAGAGATACTCTAATCTGCCTAGAGCTGGGCATTTCTCCACAGACTTACTCGAGGTGCTTATTGAGCAAGTATCACTCCATTCAGTAATCCGAACAGAGGAAGGAAGCAGCAAGAAAAAAAAAGTGAAAATAGAAGGAAAAAAATGGAAACAAAGCAAAGTTTTTGTATATAGGGAGGGGAGAGGACTTCAGGGAGAGAATGGGATACAATAAAATAAAATTTATAAAAAAGAAATACAAACATAGTGATTTGCTTACTTTCTCTTCTTCTCTTCCATTATAGATTTGTTTGTAGGCCAATAATGCACCATAGCCACCAATATCTGCTCAGTGTCTTCCTCAGCTCTAGCAGATACTGCACTGTGGACTGCATGTCTTCTCAGTGTCTTCCTCAGTTGTGCAAACAGCCTGACAAAAGTCTTCCCAGGTCGTAAGTCTTAAAGAGTGAGATAATTCCTTGATCAACTGGTTGAATTGAAGAGGTGGGGTTTAGAGGAAGAAACACCACTTTGATACTGGGATGAAGATCAACAATGAAAGAAGGATTTGCTGGAGGATAATTAACACAAACAAAATTTTGAAAGGTATGTCATTCTCTAAAGGGAACTTTTCCACTTTTTCAGCATAGCAACTCAGGAAGGCATCACAAAAGAGGAACTGAGTCATCTACAACTTTTTATTGCTCCTGTAGCATACAGTGCATGTTTCACACTTGACACTGGCTGCCCTGCTTGTGTATGGAAATGCTTTCAGGCATTCATTTCCAAAATAGGGAGGTTTCACCCACCCTGAAGATTTACTCTGGCAGCAATGTTCCTCCACAGTTGGTGTTATAGTTTACCAAGTTCTTCAGCTGCCTTCATGTCCAACCTCCCAGACTCACATTCACTTTCACAACAAGACCAGTGACAATTCTCAAATTGCAGTGAATTCATTGGTTCTTTCTTTGTTTAAATCTGCTTCTGAACCTCTGAACTGAGTTTTTCATTTTAGTTAGTGTCCTACTCAGGTTCAGAATTTGATTGGCTCTATTTTTAAGATTCTGTCTTTATTGATATTCTCATTTTGTTCATGCATTTCCCCCTTATTAACTTTAGTTTTTTACCCATGTTTTCCCTTTAGTTATTTGAATACATCAAGATGGTGGTTTAAAGCCTTTGTGTAGTAAATCTTGTTCTGGACTTCCTCAAATATAGTTTATGTTAAGTAATTTTGTACCTGTAAATAGAACAAGCCATGTGAATTTTTGCTGTTACTGAAAATTTGGGGATTTGACTACTAATACAAAGAAATTTGGAAATCTCTTTTCTTACTCAGGTTTATCTTTCCTTCTTGATTGTTGAAGACTTCAGGGGTATGCTTGTTTAGTAACTTTCCAAACTGTTTCACACTATATTCCTTGGCTTTGTGATCACTGTACTAGAATTCTCTTAGCTTTTGTTGAGATGATGTTTTGACAGTGATGACTTGAAGAATAGGAGTGAAATTTTATTTATTTATTTATTTGGTACCAGGGATTGAACTTGGGTCCTTGCACTTGTGCAGCAGGTGGTGAAACCACTGAGCTAAATCCCCACCCCTAGGAATGAAATTTTTAAAAAATAATAATAAGCACACACCCAAAAAAAGGAAAATGAAAAAGCAAGCAAACATCAGCACCTCTCCTGGTCACTGCAGAGTGAGTCTGCATCACCCCTCCTTCAGCAGTCAGCCAGGCTTTTGCTAAGCTAGGGACTAGCACCAAGGAAAGCTTGTGCTCTTGGGTGTGTTCTATCAGGAGCTTCTCCTAGTCATGCTTTCTAAATTCCTCCACAGACTCAAGTCATTTTGAATGTCTTAACTTCCCAAGAAACTTCCTATTAAATCCCCAGTTATTTTTAGGTCTGTCATCTGTTCTAAATAGGCTTGTGATCTCAGCCTCATAGGTCAGCTGGTCTTCTCACTTCTTTTTTTTTGGTACTGGGGATCGAACTCGAGTCCTTGTGCTTGTGCAGCAGGTGGCGAAACCACTGAACTAAATCCCCGGGCCTTCCATCTTCTCTTGAACAGTGGAATAGAGAAGATTGCAAAAAATCCCCGACTCCACCATAAATCTGTAGCAGCAACACAAAGTTTTTATTTATTGTCTGTTCTGGGCTGAGGTACCATGCTGATAGAATTGGGTCCAGAGAGAAAGAATCAATCTAAGGGAAGAAACCCATTGATTCACTCTCTTGTTGTCACAAGTAGTTTTCATGCATAGAAAACTTTCTAGTTTGTGTGCCTTTGGTTAATCTCTAAAAATAGTACAATGGATGGAAAAATCTGGGGTCATTATTTTTGAAAATATTTTTTCATCCTCTGATTCTGTCAAGAAAATTTGATATCATCCTTAACTCTTTTTCTCCATGTAGCCATTATGATTGATAATTATATTTTATTCATTGTTTTTTTAAATACTTGGCATTATGTAGCAACTTATTGTATTTATCTTCACTTTCCTTATCTACAGTACTTCAGGCCTTTCTAATCAAGGTCATTGCTAAGTAATTTATTTTCATTCATATTGACATTATCAAACCAACTTATTATTGCTTGCATAGTTTCTGAAATATGCATCTCAGCACTGAATTTTTAATAATCTATAGTTTTTGGTAACACTTAATGTAAATTAAGTGTATATTTTTTATTATTTCACATATAACACTTAAAATTGTACCTAATGACATTTATTGCAACTTTAAATTACTGGAGTTTTTTTTCCTTTTTCTTAAATTTAATTTGTCATATGTAAAGTTTTTATATACAATCAGTGTGCATTGTAATAGTTTATATTAAAAGTCAATCAAGTTTGTCTAAAATGTTAAGCTGGCTGCATAGCACATTTGACATTATTGCCCACATGAAAAGGGAAAACAAATGGATTTACAGTAACGTTTGGCCATTTGGATTCTGAGAGTCATATACCCACCCTTTTAAACCAAATCCATCTGAAAAAAATGTTTCCAGAGCATGCTGTTTAGACTTTCCATATTATCTCATCATTTTTTCTTTTACTACAAACATAATATTGACTAAAAAAGGGGGAGGGGAGTAAAATGTATCTAATAAAGTATTCAATATAAAAAGGACTAAGGGAAATAAGTGGCCCCTTTCCCCATTTTTACATTCTACACAATGATTCCATCAAAACAAATCATTAAAAAGTGTTATTACACTGATTTTTTTTTTTTTTTGATAAGAAGGCCTGAGTTGGTAGAGAAAGGAACAGTCAAAAAAAGCCTGACGGGGAAAGAAGGAAAGCTCATTTAATACATTTACAATAATTTACAGCCATTTTTTTTCTTGTAAAAAGGCATAATAATAAATCACAAACAGGAAATTCCTGGCTATATTACAGATACAAGTACAGAATTTAAATATTCAAGCTTGTGATGAAAAGCGGCAAGGTGGTCGCAGTGTACAATGTAAACAAGTAGCTTTGGAAAGTGAACAAAGTCCTTGAGCCTTTTTTCTTTAAGAAAGACCTCTCTTTCATTCCTTCTTGAAACATAATCACAAGTCAGAGTAAAGTTCATATACAAACATAATTTAAATGGAGGTCAGTCTAAAATAACTGACTTAAAAAAGTTTTATCCAGCCTATATGGGAGGGCAGTGTTGAGGTCCCTGTTATAGTAAACATTTCCATTTCTTTAAAAAAGAAAAGAAAAGTACTACAATATTTGTAGTACAGTACAGCAGAATCCTTAAATATAAAAATAGTTTCTCTTCTGTTGGGATAATAGACCTTGCATCCTGGAAAGAAGTAACAATACTGCTACTGATAGAAGATCTGTTTATATCTTTCAAGTCATGTAAGGCAATTACTGTGTTGGTTTATGATATATGGCTAAAAGAAAAGTCCAGAAAGACAAAGCATAAGTTTCTGTTATGTTTTCCGATTACTCCAGGTGTGCTCGGGTGTACTTTTGTGTTCAACTGAATGTTCAAATGGAGATCTGGAGCCATAAGGAGACCTCTGATCTAGTGGTGACCTAGGGCCACTGCTGGAAGCTCTGTGGTCCATTTGCCACTCTGAGTGATACCTATAATCCCTGAAAGATTTATGGTGTGTGTACTCAGAACTTGATCAGTGATCTGAATGTACCCGATGATCTGAATGACATCAATGATCAGAATGAGATCTCTCTTTTAAACTTCCTTCCAAATTTGACCTGTGATCTCTACTCTTGTGATCATTCAGTTTTCTGTGTCTGTCACTGTAATATCTGCTGTCTTGCTTGTAGTGATCCCACTCTCAATGATCTTTACCATTACTAAATGAAGAATAGGGTCTTTTCCTGGAATCACTCTTTTTGTAAGAATCTCCCTGATGTCAGTCTTTATGGTGGTCATGGTACTGAGATAAATGTCTATCAGAAGAATAACTGTCCCTGCTGCTATCATTATGATTTGTATTCTCTTTTAATCTCTCCACATCTGGATTTCTAATCACAGGAGCATTCAAGTTGCTGTTCTGGTCACTGTTTTGCTGAGTTTCTTGTCGTTCTTTAATAGCATGCTTATATAACTTATGTAACTTTCTTGCATCAAACTCAGTAAACTTAGATACAAAAATCCACAGGTTTTTTTCTCCACTGCTTAATTTGTTCAGAATTTGCATACTCTTTCAGACATTCTGTGATATTGTCTCCAATTTTTATTAAACATTGTCTAGTATGTTCCAGTTGTTCTCTTTCTGAAAGGCCTTTCTCAGGCCTATCAAGTTGTTTCAAAGCTGCTTTGACAGGCCTCATTCTTTCTTTACAAATGCTGAATGTCTTCTGATCCAGCTCTTCAGATTCTTCAGATATGGGAACTGGTTCACCACTTGCAGTAATGTGACCTGGAGCATCTAACACCGAAGATTTTTTGGATCTTTCTTTACTTTCAGACTTGGATTCACTCAACTTATCAGCATCATCATCAGACTTCTCTGAAGGCAGGGGGGAAGAATCATTCTTTATTTCTTCTTTCACTTTTATAGATTTCATTGCTTTATTCTTCTTAACTCTTGCTTTTCTCCTTTTTAAACCACCTGGACCAGAAAGTCTCACAGCTTCTTTTTTTGCAAGATCTCTACTAAGTAACTTGATGAGGTAGTCCGCACATGTCTGCAATTGTTTTGCTTGTGGGTTTTTTTATCAGGATCATCTGGAAGAATCTTGTGTGTGAGACTGAGGTCAGGATCCATTTTAATCATTTCTCAGCTTCCATATCCATATTCATAGATACTGATTAGTAAGTTGGAATCATCTTCTTTGCCCCAGTCTATATCAAAATGAGCTGCCTTTGTGTAGCATGGGATTGTATACTGCTTTCTTTCTTCTGGGTCTGAAGGAATGGATTTGTGCAATGGTATTACTTCTTCTTCATGGGAAATGACTAGCTTGGCATTTACTTGTACTCCTGATATTCAGAATGTTGGCCCCTTCACTTTTCCTAGTCTACCACCTGTTCGTTCTGTTCCTGAAGAACTGTCCTTTAAAGCTTTAATACAACCATTATGTACCAATTCTCCTAGTCTTCTGAAGTCTGTTTCTGACTTATCAACTAATTCAGCATCTCGAGCAATTGCATCTAATCTTTCCAAAGGGCCACCAAATTTCTTATAGCGCTTGATAAACTGCCTAATTTCTGCACCACTAAATCCTTTAATATTCTCCCGAGGGATAGTGTGTGGTCTTCCACATTTCTTTGGTCTTTTCCCTTCTGAGACCGAATCACTGTCAGATCCAGAGTATCTCCTACTTCTACTGTGCCTTCCTTCACTTTCATTGAAACTAATCTGTTTTGCACAGTTTCTCGTTCTTGGGAGCATATAAATTTCAAGTTCCTTCTGCCTTTCTTCCTCTTCCAATCGTCTCCTTTGATCTTCTGGAATGATTTCTTCCCAATTCTTTGAATTCCTTTCAGATTCCAATTCAATGTCATCCTCATCCATATTTGAAAAGTTAGCAACCTTGAACTGGGAAAGTAATTCATCTCCTACAGTTAAAGGAAGGGCCTGGTTCATTTTCATGAGTTTCTGCCCTCTTCAAGATTTCATCTATATCCATTTCCTGGGGCTCTTGTTCTTCTCCTTCAGGTTCCTTAAAAAGTTCCTCAGCACCAAATTTTAAAAGTAGCTGATAATTCTTCTTTATTGAAAGGAGTAGAACTTGATGGAGCAGAACCTGTGTGCAGTACTGTCTTCCCAGTTGTATCCATTCTTTGAATTACAAGATGATCTAAAACCATTTTCTTTTTGGCCCTTTCAAGAATATCTTCTTCAACTGATCCCTTTGTGACTAGACGATAAATATTCACCTGTTTCTTTTGTCCAATTCGATGGGCTCTTGCCTGTGCCTGAAGATCATTTTGTGGGTTCCAATCAGAATCAAAAATAATGACAGTGTCAGCAGAGGCTAAATTAATGCCTAAACCTCCAGCTCTTGTAGAAAGCAAAAAGCAGAAATTCTCTGATCCCTCAGCATTAAAATGATCTAGAGCTTGTTTCTTCAACTCCGCCTTTATTGATCCATCTAATCTTTGAAAGGGGAATTGACGATATTTCAAATATTCTGCAAGTATATCTAACCATTTGAGAAAAAATGAGAACTCTGTTGCCTCTTTCTCTTAGTCGAATTAACAGCTTGTCGAGCAGAATTAATTTTCTGCTACTTCAGATTGAGTGTTGTAAGGCCTCCTGTTTATTATAGAATTCATTATTATCTGGTGGTTTAATGAGGTAGCAATGGTTACAACATTTCTTTAGCTCCATCATAATGTTCAAAAAGCCTGAGGTACTGCCCTTGGAACCTTTGCTGAGGGCTTTGTAATTCCTAGTTAAAATCCACTTGTAATATTGTTTATGTAAAGCACTCATTTCCATTGTTAAAATCTGTTCAACTTTGGCAGGAAGAGATTTTTCGACATCTTTCTTAACTTGGCGTAACAGAAATAGCTCCAGCTCCTTGTGGAGGCTTGTGTAACCATATTCTCTCCCTTTGCCATGCTCTTCTTCAAAATCTTCCCAGGAAGAAAACTTTTCTGGCATAATGAAATGGAGCAATGACCAGAGCTCTTTCAGGGAGTTTTGTAAAGGGGTTCCAGTGATAAGGAGGCAGTGATTAGATTTAAAATCTATTAAAGTTTTGTACAGAAGAGAATCATCATTTTTTAATCAATGTGTTTCATCAACACCTATGAATGCCCAATTCAAATCACCAAGGAAAGCCTTATCCTTCAATAAAATTTCATAAGTTGTTAAAAGTATATTAAATTTTAACCGTTTGGTCTGGGGATGCATCCATTCATGAGTTCTTATCATGTTTCTGCTGTTAATGTCACCTAAACAAACCACAGCATTCATCTGAGAAGCCCATGTCTGAATCTCCCTTTGCCAGGAAGTGAGAGTGGAGAGTGGTACTACTATTAGAAAAGGTCCATATGTTCATGAAACAAATAATTCAAAAACGAGATCATCTGTATTGTTTTTCCAAGGCCCATTTCATCAGCAAGTATGCAACTATTTCCTTTGCACCAAGAATGAGAAAGCCAATTTAAACCATTCAGTTGGTAATCTCTTAATTCTAAACCCTCATGTCCTCCAATACAGGATGGCTGCTTCTTCAGAGCTACAAATCTTGGTCTTTGTTTTAATACTTTGCAGTCTTTAAAAGGAGTAGTTTTTGATTGGTTCCTGCTGAATTACTCATCAATGCACACCTGAAACTTTTTGGAAATGAGCGCTCCATCTTCCCAGCTGCACTCTGAGTATGGAAGGTACTGCCACTTGCAATAATAGTCAGAAAAACCAGCTGCTGACTTCTGGTTGGAATGAGCAATTATACGTTCCACTATTTGATACTGTTTATACAGATCATCTGTAAGTTCTTGCTGGCAATTGTAATATTCCACATCTTCTGGGGAAGCATTTTTCAACCATCTTTTTGTTTCCTGATCTTTTTTCTTGTAATTATCCAATTTTTTCATTCCTCTAACATTCTGCTGTTTAAGGGTTTCTTCTGTCTCCCAAGTATTGTGGATATGCGACCATCCTTTCCATTTAATTAAATACTGGATCTCTCCTGGTTCCTTGTTTTTTTCAAATCCTGCGTTTGTATCACCATCTGCTTCAACTGCATAGATGGCTGTAGTAGCACCAGTAGCTCCTTTTCGCCCAATATGACAATCCATAAACCTTTCTATTGTTTCAAATTCCTCTTCCTCGGGTTGAGGAACATCCTCTCCACAGACTTCTAGTAGGTCATCAGAATCTGTTTTCATTTCTTCGTCTTCCTTATAGCTAACACTGACAGTTGCTTGGCGACCAGAACTTCTTTTATCATTATCATAATCTTCGTCATCATCATCCTCAGATGAATCAGTTTGTCTCTTTTTTTGTCCAAGTATCTTTTCTCCATTTTTAGACTTAGATCTATTTTGAGGCTGTTTTTTACTTTGTTTTTTGGCTCATAATAAGATTCCATTTCATCACAACTGCTTTTATTTCTCTCTTCTTCAGATTCTGAATCTGAACCAGACTGAGATGCAGATCCCGATCCAGACATTTGCCAATCTTCATCTTTATGCTTTTCCCTTTTGACATCACTCGATGAGTCATCAGAATCATCACTGCTAGAAGAATCCTCTTCTGATCCACTGTTAGATGAGGCTGGATGTTGCTGTTGCTGCTGCTGCTGCTGCTGCTGCTGTTGTTGCTGCTGCTGCTGTTGCTTTTTAATCATTGCAGATCTCTGAACAGCAAGAATACCAGGGCTAGATTTCCAAAACTCAGCTCCATCAACTTTCGGTGGTTTTGCTTGAACTTTGTTTTCTCAGGATGAGCCTGACTCAGACTCTGACTGACTGTCTGATTCAGATCCAGAATCAGAGTCACTGCTACCTGACTGGCCACTGCTTCCATCACTACTGCTTCCAGTACTGGAACCAAATCCAGAGGCTGAAGCTGACCCAGAATCATCATCTGACAGGCTTGATTCTCCACTACTGTTTCTAACACTTTCATCATCACTGTGTCCATTCATTGTAAATATCAATGTTTTAAAATAAAATATCAATCTTTTCAGCTTAAAAGATGATAATAAGTACTGATTCCTCCTTGAATATAAAAAATCACAGATGAATTTTCTTCAACATTCACAGATTTCCTGGGACCCTCTTTGATTTACTGGCAGTCGGGCGGGCTCGGCGGGGCGGAGGAAGCCGGCGCTCTTGCTCGCCCGCCGGGAGCCCGCACGGTCGGCGGCCTCCCCCGCGCCCGGGCACATGCGCGATCTCCGCCGCCGCCGCCGAGTCTTCGGGCTCCGGGAGTCTCGGGCTGAGCAGGAGTCCGTGAGGGGGAAGGGGAAGCCCCGGGCGGCGGCCCCAACGCGCGATCCCCTGCGGAGCGGCTCCAACAATCAATTCACTATTGAGGCGCCGCAGGCCCCGGCGGCCAGAGCCAGCAGTACCGAGTCGTCCTCGCCGCCGCCGGCACGCGCGCGCTCCCGCTCCCGCCGCTTATCGGCCCCTGGCAGCCGCCAAGACGATGAGAGAGCAAGCGAGCGCAACCGTCTTCGTCGTAGCCGCCGCCGCCACGGAGCTCGCCGACGCCTCCGCCTCCCGCGCGATGTCAGCGCCCCGGCTCCCTCCCCTTCCTCACTGGTCTAAATTACTGTTTTAATATATTTAATTAAGTTGACTGTCTCTGAGAAAATCTAAGTAAAAATATTGTGTAATATTACTTTAAATAAAGGCACGCTGCATGATAGCATTAATCAAGAGATCATGAAAAATTTGACTCAGAAGAATTTTTTGGTTTGCACCATGTAAAATAACATTTCTTCTTAACTTAAAAGTTTGCTTTCTACTTACCTGATTTCTGAACATTTCCATCGTCAATACTGCCCCCTGGTGAACTAAGACGGAATTCACAGTCTGGGGGCCTGTGGTCTGGAAAGCATTGGCAATTACCAAAATTATCACATATCTGAAACAGAAAAATATGCAATCACTTTGAATTGTCTTATGTTTTCTATATGATATTAATGCCAGAATTTCACTGAATCACTATTTTTTGTAAGACCTTTATGATTATATAATATGAAAAATGGGTTAAAATAAGTAGTGAACATTTTGACAAAATAATAATCAAATGGCAAAACCACTACTTACATGAAAGCATATTTTAGCCTCAGAATATTGCCTATTTCTAATAAATACTTTATCTTCTTCAATCATCTTTTAAAAATGAGATTCAATAAAGTTATTCAGAAGTGAATTTAAATTTTTTCACAATTACAATTTATTTTGGAAATATTTGCTGTCACTACTTGGACATTTATATTTATGCACTTTAATTTCTATGCATATGATTGCAATAAAATAGACATCAATTGACACAGATACTTTGATTTTTTTTTAATCCTACACCTTTTTAAGATTCCACATTAGTGCTCAATATTTTGTATTTTATTTTTAGGTGAAAATCTGTTCCTACACAAAACAAAACAGATCCAAAAGAAAATATTAAAAATGAGAAACAAAACAAAACAAAAATGAGCAACAAGACAAAAATTTATGGTAAATTTGCATTGCTAGAACTTTACATTTGGAAGTGTTTCCTTATTGACCCTTCTATATTTTATTGTTAGTATTGATTTTTATTTTAAAATTAAATAAGTACATGTTTTCTAAAATGAAGACAATACAAAATGTATGTAACTAAAAGAGTACTTAGCCACTAATTAAATCCCACTGTCACTGCTAAGAATGTATTTGTTTCATTTGTATAAATATTTATATATATATAATTTCCATATGCATTTATAAACATGCCTATTCAAGCGACAAATCAAAACATATTCATCTGTTCTAGCCAAAACAATGTCAACAATATGCCAAAAGCTTACTCTTATACCTGTATTATAAATACATAGACTTGGCATATTTTAAAACATAATTTTTAGTGGCATGGATATTACTGTAATCTTACACTCATTCTGCTAAACTATTTTAAATTTCATTAAAATTGTTAACCTCCTGTTCCTACTTACCAAAAAAGATTACAATTGTGAGTTGGAATTATACCCCTCAATTACACAGTGACAGTTTAGAGTGCTGGCAATAAATATTTTAACATATAGATCACAGATAAGGATTGGAATATCAACTTGTCTTAGTCACCTTTTAGGTGCTGGAACAACAACAACAACAAAAACCAAACAAAAATTCAATAGACACAACTTAAAGGAGGAAAGGTTTATTTTAGTTCAAGTTTTTAGCAGTTTTAGTCCATGGTTGGCTGAGTCCAAGGCACAGAGTGTGGTGGAAGGGCCTGGGCTGTGGATGGCTGCTCATCCCATGGCAGCCAGGAGGCAGAGGGAAAAGAGAAGAGCCAGGGACAAGAATGCACCCTGCCGGGTCACATCCCCATGAGTCCCTCCAGCCAGGCCCCACCTCCTGACAGCACAGTGACCTATGAACCAGTCAGTGGATGAGTCCACTGAGGAATATAAAATCCCCGTTATTCATTCACCTTCCAAACTCATGAGAATTTTGGGAGGCATTTTAGGTCTAAACCATACCACCCCTTAGCATCATTTTAAGCTTATTTCACAATTATTATCCCTTTATGAATTATTTTACATTTGCTTAAACAGCATAAAACAACAAAGGATATTATCATTAAGTTTTTACTAAGTTTAAAGCAAGGTCGTCAGAGCAAGCGGTATCAAGTAAATATACCATACACCTTTTCTTAAGTGAAAACTACCTCGAGGTTTCAACCATAGGTATGGAGACTGGTTTTCTAACAGGAAAACTGAATACAACCCATGAACCTTAGACATTTGCTTCAATATTTCTTTTCATGCCTTTTAATCTATTACTACTCAAAAAAGCTTTTTCTTTTTTTCTTGTTTTCTTCAAAGTTAATATCACACTGTGCTTGAGCCTTCAGCACTTTCACAGTTCTCTGCTCCTCACTTAGGAAAGCAGCGTTGATCCTGTCATGGACACATTTAACGGACAGAACTGCCACTGCCCCACTGACAGAACCCCCAAGCTTGATTTCACTGTTCCACATTGTGTACAAGTTCAAAACACTGTATTATGCAAAATAAATATACAGTTACGATTTGCCAATGAAAGTAATATTAATATAAAAAGGAAAGTCTATAAATATTAGAGACATTTATAAAGGACAATAAAAATACAATATTGGAAATTAACATGAAATATAAATGTAAAATACAAAGACTGACAGATAAATTAGAAAAGCTAAGTGTATAATTCTTAAACAAATCTAAAACACAAAGGTCTGAAAAATACATTATGCAAATACTAGCCTAAAGAATTCCAATATAGTTGTATATAATGAAAAAGCAAATAAATATAATAATTGTTAAATGCTAAGAGGCTTATTCTCTTATAAAATGTGAAATTTCTAAATTCATAGTCATTTTACATGTGTCCTAAAAAGTATATAATGCAAAAACTGACAGAATCACAGAGAAAACTAGTCAAATCCAAATAGTAGTGGGGCCTTTCAACATTATCTTCAAATACTAATGAAATAAGCAAAAAAAAATACAGCAATAATAGACAGTTCAGAACAATGCAGGTAATCTTAAAATATGTAAGTATATACAATATATGAATGAAGCAGATTTCTTCCTTAATCCACATTATATATCTAATCTCATAGACCATTTATCAAAAGTAATCATGCACTCATACACTGGGGCATAAAATAAACCCCTAAAATTTTAACATCCTGAATTTAGAACAACTTAAAGGTAATTCAATAAAGCAAGAATTAACTAGCAAAAGATACATGGAGTTACTAAGTTCTCACATTTATAAATTCTTTTATTTATAAATGCATTTCTCTTGCTTCTGATTATAAAGTGTGAATTTTGTACAAAATAATACAAATAAACAATAATGATATGATAATAAAACTACCTGAGACCTCCGGAGAGGGAACAAACACATGCAGCAGGAGGAGAGTTGGAGTGGAAGGGGTCTGGATGGGATGAACTATCCACTGCAGCAGTTTTAGATGGGTCCTCACTATGTTCCCCAGCTGCCTCACATTGCTAGGCTCAAGAGCCACCACATCTGGCCCCATGGTAGCTTTGATCTGAGGGCAGCAGCAATGACAGCGGCAGAATGGGACAGGTCAAACTCCAGTAAAAGGCATCATAATTGAAAACAAAAAATCCAAATGCACTCCCCAATTTCAGCCCAAGTTTCTAGCTGATCATGCAGTAATGCTCATATTTGTCATAGTGAAAAGTGTGCAGTGGAACTAAAAGGAAACAGTCAATTCCACAGTCATGGAAGAATACTTTGAAACAATATTTTCTATAATTAATGAAGAATTGGGCAATTTTAAAGACAGTGAAGACAAAGAAAATCCTAAAATAATTGTCAAAAACATAGAAAAATTCTTCATTTATAGGTCATGAATCTAATGATTACAAACTCATTTCACTGGCACATATGTAGTGAACTCACCCTTCAACGTATGCACAATATAGACCATATGCTTACCAAAAAGCAAATGATAAAAATTTTAACAGAAATGAACTCATGCAGAGAGGATTTGCTTGACCACAATGGAACTGATAGCAGTTATTGGGAAAGATCCAAGCAGGTAATCATTAAGCACACTTGTAAATGACCCTTGTTCAAAGACAATCTCAAAAGGAAATAAAGCAACAGCAAGTTGAAAGCTAATGATAATATAACATGATACAAATTTGAGGATGCAAGTAAGCAGGAGAGATTGATAATATTAAATGCTTATTGTATAAAGAAATCCAGTGCTAAAAGTCAAATATCTAAAGTTACTCCTAATAAAGTTTTATTAAAAAAAAAATCCAAGTAAGTTGTCAGCAGAGTATGAGCCATTTAGGTGGATCACTTCCTTAGACGCACTACCACCTCTAGACTCCTGTGGGAATGCTGAAATTTTTCATTTTAATCTCATTTGCTAAGCATGTTGCTAGCATACAGCTCTCAACTATCAGCCCTCTTTGAGAATTTCCTAGCTGAAGAGAACCATGAAATTCAATGTCACCCTTCTCAGGGCAGCCTGTATCTAACAATTGATGTGGGGTCTTAAAAGCCTAGGCCTTGGGCCCTAACTTGGGACATTTTTGAACAGGTCATTATATCCACTTTAGAGCTTCCTACGTTGATAGTTAAAATTTTTATTGAAAATTTCTTTACAGCTAATATTCTACCTCTCTTTGTCCAATCCCACCTCTCTGCTTTCCTTTCTACAGATATTTATCTGGATGTACACTTTCTAAGAACATTCTGCAGAATAATCTCTGTCTTTTAATTGCTTCCCAGGGATCACAACTTACAATTGTTGTGACCAAAAGTAACCTGAAAAAGCTGATATTGAGATGGTTTTTTTGCACTGAGTCACCTACCACTCAGGTGTCAAGGGAGACCTCATTCATAACTGGTAATAAAGCACAGACAGCTCTTGGTATATGGTGGCATTTCAATCACTAAAACAGTCATTGGTAGTGAATCTTCTACTGGGGTAGAAGAGAATGCATGAACTCATTGGATATATTAAGTATTTGAGATATGCAGGAAAATAAAAAGTCTAAAATGCAATTAGTGTTTTTCAAGCTTTGCTGAGATTTGAGAAATGTGATTGAAAAGCTGAGAAGGATAATCATGACACCAGTGAGCTAATTGAGGACAATGTGCCTCGGTATATGGAGAGTCAACTATATGTAGAAAAAAACCTGTTTCATTCTCTAATTACAGAATAATATTGTACCTCAAATATGTACACTGGTTTTGCCCCCTCATCAAGCAATTCTAAACTTTTCAGCAC